TCATAGTGCAAAAAAGAATTATAAGGAGTATTATGAATGTAAATTCTAGAGCCTCTTGCCGGGGATTTTTTAAATATTTAAACATATTGCCTTTTTATTCTCAATATATACTTTCGCTTTTGCTTCTGGTGGTGAAAAATATGCATTTGTTTGCACTAAATGCTGAAATACATGTCATAAATACACGACAAAGTACCAGCTTACACGTGCCATTGATAAATTTAGCCAAATATAAGAATAGTGTGTGTTGTACGGGTATTAAAATATTTAATAATCTGCCACATAATTTAAGAAAATTATCGAGTGATTATAAAAAATTTAAGTTAGCTATAAATAATTTTCTCTTAAATCAATCATTTTATTCAATAAATGAATACTTGGAGTGGTCAAAGGAAAGGAAATAGAATACAGGTAAATATTTGTTTTATTTAGATACACTTATGTGTATTAGTTTTTGTAGACTCTGTATAAATGTATGTATCCTTTTATTATTAATTGCTTATAATGTCCGTATTTTAATTATTATTGATTTATTATACTAAGCATTGACTAAGTTGTATTATTGCAACTGTTTTATTATAGTATATGTTACTATTTGGGACTGCTTCTACAACAGTGGTGATTGTGTCGCCTGTACGTTTTTCTTGAAGCAATAAAGATATATTATATTATTACAGCTGTGAGAACCGCAGATCCTACACAGTGCTATATCTCAGAAGATAGAACTCTTCATAACCACGGCTATGAGAACCTCAGATCCTACACAGCGCTATATCTCAGAAGACAGGACTCTTCATAACCACTGGTGTGAGAACCTCAGATCCTACATGGCGCTATATCTCAGAAGACAGGACTCTTCATAACCACTGCTGTGAGAACCTCAGTTCCTATACGGAGTTATATCCCAGAAGATAGAACTCTTCATTAAACACAGCTGTGAGAACCTCAGATCCTACACACTCTTCATTTAACACAGCTGTGAGAACCTCAGATCCTACACAGTGCTATATCTCAGAAGATAGAACTCTTCATAACCACGGCTATGAGAACCTCAGATCCTACACAGCGCTATATCTCAGAAGACAGGACTCTTCATAACCACTGGTGTGAGAACCTCAGATCCTACATGGCGCTATATCTCAGAAGACAGGACTCTTCATAACCACTGCTGTGAGAACCTCAGTTCCTATACGGAGTTATATCCCAGAAGATAGAACTCTTCATTAAACACAGCTGTGAGAACCTCAGATCCTACACACTCTTCATTTAACACAGCTGTGAGAACCTCAGATCCTACACAGTGCTATATCTCAGAAGATAGAACTCTTCATAACCACGGCTATGAGAACCTCAGATCCTACACAACGCTATATCTCAGAAGACAGGACTCTTCATAACCACTGCTGTGAGAACCTCAGTTCCTATACGGAGTTATATCCCAGAAGATAGAACTCTTCATTAAACACAGCTGTGAGAACCTCAGATCCTACACACTCTTCATTTAACACAGCTGTGAGAACCTCAGATCCTACACAGTGCTATATCTCAGAAGATAGAACTCTTCATAACCACGGCTATGAGAACCTCAGATCCTACACAACGCTATATCTCAGAAGACAGGACTCTTCATAACCACTGCTGTGAGAACCTCAGTTCCTATACGGAGTTATATCCCAGAAGATAGAACTCTTCATTAAACACAGCTGTGAGAACCTCAGATCCTACACACTCTTCATTTAACACAGCTGTGAGAACCTCAGATCCTACACAGTGCTATATCTCAGAAGATAGAACTCTTCATAACCACCACTGTGAGAACCTCAGATCCTACACAGCGCTATATCTCAGAAGAGAGGACTCTTCATAACCACCACTGTGAGAACCTCAGATCCTACATGGCGCTATATCTCAGAAGACAGGACTCTTCATAACAACCGCTGTGAGAACTTCAGATCCTACATGGCGCTATATCCCAGAAGGCAGAACTCTTCATAACCACTGCTGTGAGAACCTCAGATCTTACACAGCTCTGTATCTCAGAAGACAGAACTCTTCATAACCACCACTGTGAGAACCTCAGATCCTACACAGCGCTATATCCCAGAAGACAGAACTCTTGATAACCACTGCTGTGAGAGCCTCAGATCCTGCACGGCGCTATAGCCCAGAAGACAGAACTCTTCATAACCACCGCTGTGAGAGCCTCAGATCCTACAGAGTGCTATATCTCAGAAAACAGAACTCTTCATTAAACACAACTGTGAGAACCTCAGTACCTACACGGCGCTATATCTCAGAAGACAGAACTCTTCATAACCACCTCTGTGAGAGCCTCAGATCCTACACGGCGCTATGGCCCAGAAGGTAGAACTCTTCATAACCACCGCTGTGAGAACCTGAGATCCTACACAGCGCTATATCCCAGGAGACAGAACTCTTCATTAAACACAGCTGTGAGAACCTCAGTTCCTACACAGTGCTATATCTCAGAAGAGAACTCTTCATAAACACAGCTGTGAGAACCTCAGTTCCTACACGGCCCTATATCTCAGAAGACAGAACTCTTCATAACCACCGCTGTGAGAACCTCAGACCCTACATGGCCCTATATCTCAGAAGACAGAACTCTTCATAACCACCACTGTGAGAACCTCAGATCCTACACAGCGCTATATCCCAGAAGACAGAACTCTTGATAACCACTGCTGTGAGAGCCTCAGATCCTGCACGGCGCTATAGCCCAGAAGACAGAACTCTTCATAACCACCGCTGTGAGAACCTCAGATCCTACACAGCGCTATATCCCAGAAGACAGAACTCTTGATAACCACCGCTGTGAGAGCCTCAGATCCTACAGAGTGCTATATCTCAGAAAACAGAACTCTTCATTAAACACAACTGTGAGAACCTCAGTACCTACACGGCGCTATATCTCAGAAGACAGAACTCTTCATAACCACCTCTGTGAGAGCCTCAGATCCTACACGGCGCTATGGCCCAGAAGGTAGAACTCTTCATAACCACCGCTGTGAGAACCTCAGATCCTACATGGCGCTATATCTCAGAAGACAGAACTCTTCATAACCACCGCTGTGAGAGCCTCAGATCCTACACGGCGTTATAGCCCAGGAGACAGAACTCTTCATTAAACACAGCTGTGAGAACCTCAGTTCCTACACAGTGCTATATCTCAGAAGAGAACTCTTCATAAACACAGCTGTGAGAACCTCAGTTCCTACACGGCCCTATATCTCAGAAGACAGAACTCTTCATAACCACCGCTGTGAGAACCTCAGACCCTACATGGCCCTATATCTCAGAAGACAGAACTCTTCATAACCACCGCTGTGAGAACCTCAGACCCTACACAGCGCTATATCCCAGAAGACAGAACTCTTCATGACCACCGCTGTGAGAACCTCAGATCCTACACAGCGCTATATCCCAGAAGACAGAACTCTTGATTAAACACTGCTGTGAGAACCTCAGATCCTACCTTCTATTCCATTTTTCTGAAAACAAAATTCCTGGATGTAAGCTGTTTTTGCTGCTGCAACCCAATTTTATGTGTTATATTTCTCATAAATTCGGTAATCCAATGATTAGAATGTTACCAATATTCGAAGAAAATATCAAAAGCAAAATCTAAAATAATAGTTTCAGGATCAGATCCTGTTCATTCAGAAATAATAATAGATGATGAAGTTGTAGAACAAGTCTTAGAATTTCATTTCTTGGATTGCCAAATATCTAGGTGAAGGAGACATGTACAGTAACACGTGCTGAACATTTAGGATATTGAAAGGGAGAGCTAGAAAGGATAGCTAAATTAAATCATAGAATGTTATGGCAATGCCATTATTTTATAGCAGTGAAATTTGGACAGCGACAAAAAGAGACCAAGATCAGATACTGCCAGTGAAAATTAAATTCTTCAGAGCTGTTATGGGTCATTCATTCATGGACAAACAAGAAGCAAGGATATTAGAGAAGAACTGGAGAATTTGAATTTAAATGGTAAATTTAACAATATGAAAATCAGTGAGACTTACATATGGAACAAAATTGTATACCAAAACAGACATGGACATATCATTCTAGAGGAAGAAGTGCAGTTGGGAAACTAAGAAAGAGATGGCCTGAACCAATTTTGGAGTAAGAAGGGGTTTAAACCTTATCCATAATTCATAATGATGATGAACCATGCACCAACAGGCTGCGGGCCACTTATATAGTCAATCTGCTATGAGAACGGGTGTGTCATTATAGACTGTTACACCTGCAGTCACATCTGTCTGCTGACAATATTTTGTCTCTGATTTTGTGCCAGCACTTTCCTCTCTTCTTGTAGTCTTCCAGTACTTTTTGGAATGTCCTGTTTTGGTTGTCCTATAGGTTTCTATCATTTAAACTTTAAATCCTAATGCTCATCTTGGTATCTGTGGTCTGTCCATTCTGAATTTATGGCCAGACTGTTATATCAATTTCTTTCTAATTCTGTATAAAAATTTTGAATTCCAACTCCACCTTAAGAAATTTCATTTCTAATTCTATCCCTTATTGTTATCCCCACAGTACTTCTCAGAAGTTTCATAGCTAGTGCTTGGATGTTACTTTTATTTTTGTCTTTATAAGAGTCCATGTTTTGGTTTTATGTGTATGTATATTGGGATTGGTTTAACTGTGCTTCTTACATTGTTCTGCTTTGTATTGGGATCTCCCAGTTCTGAAATATTCCTTTTATAATTTGATAGAATTTAGAACAGTTTTGTATTCTGCTGACTTTATCAGTTTCCCCTCTGAGTTATTTTCATGCCCCAAGTAAATATGAGCATCCGTTTACTGTACTTAAATAATCTATTGAATGTGCTGTCCATATATGGAGCCTTGTAGCAATGTGATGGTGGTTGCTATGTTTAAAGAGGAAAAAAGTATATGTCTGAATCAAATCACTGTTGAATTGACCAGAGAAAATTATACTATGACTAATTTCATTTCAGTATGAGAAACTGATTGAAGATTTCAAAGTTGTCCACAAAGGTAGTGAGATGTTAAGGAACAGTGGCTATTCAACTTCAGAATTAAGATCTGACATAGACACGATGGAACGTGAGAAGGATATCGTTGTTAAAAGAATCGAGCGTATGCAGCAGAAGGTATGGAACAGAACTCCTAGCTTCATATCAGACAGTACATGTTTTTATTATAATTGAAGTTACAAAGTTTACACCTTGTATGTTTAGTATTTAACGTTAACATTACATCAATTTTTGTGATCTTAACCCTAGACATCTGATTCCTGTTGTAAAATTATTAATATAATTTGAACAGTTCTTGCTTTCTGTTCTGTTTAATTACGTAAAGATAGTTATTCAGTTTGAAAACTCATCTCAGCTGAGTCAAAAAGCAGCACTGAAACCTGTTTTGAACATTAGCAAAATACTTTTTTGTACCATTTTGCAGATCGAGAATATTCACAATAAGGAAGTGATGCTCGAAGCTGCTCATGCTCTGAGATTGGAGCGCGAACGAGAGAAGTCCCTTGTGAATCAGAAACAGGAACAGCAGATGTCTCTGAACCACACAGAACAGCGAGTACAGAGGTTACAGCAACAGCTAAAGGAAATAAGACAGGCGGCCATAGGAGCAACACCAGAGGGTTAGTTCTTCAGGTGGTACTATGTGTGAATATATGAGGGTCAGTCAGAAAGTTCCAGGAATAGTGGTATTGCACTGTAAAGGTAGGACATATGCCAACACTTACCTAATCATCTTCAAAGCTGCACACACACACACACACACACACACACACACACTCTCTCTCTCTTGCTCTCTCCCCCCTCCCTCCCTTCCCCCCTCTCTCTCTCTCTCTTGCTCCTCTGATCCTGCCATTGTTGGAAGCACTGGCAGAAGGCTTATTTTTGGAATCTTCCAGAGTTTGACCATCACATTTGATTTGATGTCCTCCATGATTGTGAAATGTGTCTCCTTGCGGCCTATTTTCAGAGTAAAGAACAGCCAAAAGTCACTCGGGGTGAGATGCAGAAAGTACAGTGATGCAGGAATGTTTTTCTTGGGGAGGAATTGCTGCACAACAAATCATTTATAGCTTGATGTGTTACTGTGTTACCACTGTCCCTGCCATTTATCATGCTGCTTTCTCCGAACTGTATCTCACAACCTCTGCAAAACTTGCAAATAGAAATGACCAGTAACACTCTGTCCAGGCGGTACGGACTCATTGTGCACCAAATAGTTGATGTCAAAGAATGCAATGATTCCTTGAATCTGATCAGGCATGATTTCTTTGGTTGGGGAGACAACACTGTGTGACACTCTGATGACTGCATCTTCATCTCCAGGTCATAGGCAAACACCAATGACTCATCACCAGTGATGATCTTTTTGAGAAACGTCAGGTCCTGCGTACTTTTCTAAAACAGATCTCCAGCGACCATCATGCAACATTCCATCTGGTCCATGGTCAGCTGCTTCAGAACAAATTTGCACTGACACGTCCTATCTTCCTATCGTCCGACAGAATCACATATGGATCTGTGAGAGATACTAACTTCTTACTCCAACTCCCTGATGGTCATTCTTCGATCAGATCAAATCAGTTGTCACACTTTTTCTGTCATTTGTTCGGTTCTGGATGTTGGAGGCCTCTGACTGCACTGATCATCCTCCAACATTTCCTGTCCATTCTTAAACAGGGGAAACCAATTGTAAACTGTGGATTCTTTAGTGCAATATCACTGTAAACTTGCTGCAGGGCTATAGTGTCTCCAAAGCAGATTTTCCAAATTTGCACATGAACTTTATGTTGGCACGCTGTTCAAACTGCAACATTGCACCAAATGACCAATACTCAGGTCTAACTCCAATGGAACAGTAACAACCCTGCATGCTAAAACCTGTCCAGACCTGTTGCACCTGTGAGCAGACGTGCTAGGCTCCCCACCACAACAGTGCATGCACTATCTTATATCTCATTCTCCATCTGTAGGGGAATTCTGGGAACTTTTTGACTTGCTATCATACAAGGGTTGGATAAAAAGTAGTGGCAACACTGCTGTAACATGAAAGATGTGCGTCAGGTGACACTAGCGCCATCTGTAGCTGATAGCAGAAGTTCAGTTGAAGTAGTGCAGTGAGTGGCTCTGGTTGTGTTTCATTGAGTTGCATTGTGCATCGTCTTGAAGTGCAGGAGCCCAGTTCAAGCACCCTAACAACATGTTTACGAAACAAAATAAATAAAAATTGAAGTTGCACGAGGTCATAGTGCACAAAACTGTTATCAGGAACTGCGAGAAGCATGTGGTGATGCTGCTTTGCCATATCGCACAGTGGCACGATGGGTGAAATTGTTCCATGAAGGGAGGGATGCCATTCAGGACGACCCCATGTTGACAACCACACAATTCAGCTTCTTGGTTCTTTGCTGGATGTCGATTGTCAATGGGCTGGGTGGGAGTTTGCTGCTGAGGTAGGCATATGTTACAAAACCGTGCTTCACATTCTGCACGATATTCTTGGATACTGTAAAATTGCAGCATGTTGGGTACCCCATACAATGTCCGAGGTCCAGCAATGACAGTGTTATGCAATTGCACAAGTCTTGTTGGACTGGTACCAGAGGGAAGGTGACAACTTCCTTGGAAGGATTGTCACTCTGGACGAAACTTGGACTCGCTCATACGAACCGCACTTGAAGCAACAATCAAATGAATGGAAGCATCCTGGCTCTCCTTGTCCAAAGAAAGTGCGCCCTACACAGAGTAATGTGAAGGCAACGTTCATTGTGCCATATGACATCGATGGAGTGATACTGCACAACACTGTACCTCAACGACAGACAGTAAACGCTGCCTACTACTGCAATTTCCTGCATAATCATCTTTGTCCAGCACTCAGATGAAAGTGACGACACTTGTTGGCAACGAATCCCATCTTCCTTCAAGACAATGCAAGGGCTCATACTGCTGACCTGTTGAGGATCTCCTTTGCCGCTGGCGATGGGAGATACTGCAACATCCGCCATACTCACCCGATATGAGTCCGTGCGATTATGATCTCTTTGTCAAAATGAAAGAACCATTGCGAGGTACACGTTACAACACAAGAGAGGATATTATTCGTGCTGTAGGGCGGTCGCTGCTGGATATCAACAGAAGTGGACGCGCTGATGTTGTATGACAGCTTTCACAAATTTGGCAGAAGGTGGTACACATGGGGGGCAATTATATTGAAGGAATGTAAGTGTGTTTACCTCAGGTAATAAAGTCATTTCAGAACTATAGAGGCTTTGCCACTACTTTTTATCAGACCCTTGTATTTTATATTGTCACGTGATAAGTGTGATTATCAGCAGGGTTTGGATTGGTAATGAGATTTATTGGTCTCTGAGTGTAACTACAAGTAACTATAGCACTGTTGCTAATTCACTACAGCACACACTAAGTCTTGTCAATCTGCTGTGTCTGTTAATGGCTTCCACTGCTATAGATCTCTCAGATTTTGTGTTCATGTCCTTAGTGGCCAGCAACTTTCTCACAACTAACTGAGTACTGCTATGCAACAACTTAAAACACTGGGGGCTCCTCCACCTCCTATGCCTCTGCCAGCCATGACACTCTCAGAACAGCCTCAAACCCAGACTGGTCTGTCTGCCTGCAAACTCTCTAGACTCTCAACTCTGCTCGGACTTGCTTCTCTGGCCCTATTTTGCAACTCTGACTGACTGGCTTGTGTTTCAGTTCTCCAGATCTAGGCTCTTCGTGGACCCACAGAAATCACTGCTTCCCACAGTTCATCTATTGTAGTGTCACATCACTGCAGATACGATATATTTTGATGTGTTCCTCTGTTTTGTGTGAGTGTGGCCATGGAAATGTGTTTACAGAGCTATTGCTTTCAATGGCTGTCTCTGCTGGTTAAACTATTCCAGCTTTCAGCAGTCATGCCACAATATCTATGGTATTGCTTTCAAGTGGTGAGAAATTCATAAAAGATTTAGTCAGAAATCTTGCAGGGAAATGATGACATGGGATGGGAAGGTAACACGAAGATTGATAAGAAATAAACTGGATTTGGGGTTGTGAACTCAAATTATCTGGCTCAATATGGTCCTGTGGTAGGCTTTTATGGGAATGATAATGAATCTATTGTTGTAAAAGAAAGGAAATATCTTCAGTAACTGAGCAATTATTGGTTTCTCAAGAATGAGCCTGCTACAGGCAGTCAGTTGGTTTTCAGAAGTTCATGAACCACTTTCATTAACTTTTGTATTTGTCCATATTTACTGCAAACCCCCAGTCTTGAAAGGTTAACTAGAAAGAAAAATGAAGTTATAGAAACTTTATTGAACAGTTTCCAAATACAGCAAAGAACAGAACATGTCAAAAAGTGTTTGGAAATCTGTCGGTTATTTTTCTTTATGTATCGGTCTGATTGACAGCCATGTAGAGGAGTGCCCATTATGTCATTAAAATACAGCAATATTTGATGATGTAGTCTCAAATCAGCATATCTGTTTTGTTCTTTTATGTCTAATGATGTTGTAAACTTTTGATTTTTCATTTCTACCACATATCTTTTTTATACTGTAATGCCACTTTGAGGGTTGTATAATGAGAATATACCCAGTTTTATGTATAAAGATAAAATAAATCATATGTACCTTATTTTATTTTGCTTTTCACATAAAAAAAAACAGACTTTGTGTTGTGTAAGTTGCAGTTGAAGAGCAATATAGATCAGGTGACTTTTTTACTTGGTTTACTTTTGTGTGTGTGTGAGTGCACGTGCATGTGCACATTCACATGTTTACAATTTTACCTTGATGTCAGTAGCTGGACTACATAGTGTTGAATGGTAAGATGATAGGTGAATGATGAATTGGAAAGAATTTGGAGGGAAATAGTTATGACCTAATTGAGGTACTCTCATGGAATTTTCCTGGAGGGACTGAGGAAAACTGCAGCAAACTGTAATTTAAATAGCAGATTTATCATTGGCTATGCAGATTACATGAAGGCCTTGGGTCTAGATAAGCTGCCATATTCACATGTTTAAGGAAGTGTCCACTTAGACTTAAACCGGATCGTCGATCATACTTTGTCTGATAGAGAGTACATTTAACTAAAGACTGCTTCGCTGTGGACCACCAGACATCCAAAAATGCCTTCTTGAATGCCTCGTAGTCGGGCAGTTTGTGTACTATAGCCTCGATCCACTGTTTGCTTAAGTGTCCCACTAGGGAACGGCACGCGATTGCCAAACAAAGTGACTTTGGAACGTTCCGGAAATTAATGAATTCATCTAATCGCCTGAGGTGGAAAACAGGGTTCATTTCCGAAGCGTCGTCGAAGAGTGGTAAAGGCAATTCTGAATTGTTGAGATAACCCGACAATGAAACGTTTTCATTAGTGGTGGCCTGCCTCACACAGACACCCGCACTGCTACTACTACTACTAGCTACTGTGTGGTAGGTGGTTGGCTGGTGAGTACAGCTAACTGTTTCACCGACCAATCCACTGCTTGTTTCAGTCCCTTCAGATCCTAGCGCAGGGTCACTAGTTGGTCCAGCAGAAGGAGACGGGGAGTTGTGGACTACCACACTCACCTCGGTTGCTAAAGTTGGCCTATCTGATGTTT